AGTGGGCATTCCCAGATACCACAGAACTTCACCCTAAATCTCACAGTACCTGCTCTTTTTATTCATGTCACATATCGAAACATGACCTCCTACATGCATACAGGCACATGCTTTTGTCTAACATCCAGATTTTCTACCACATGGAAGCCTCTTGAGGACAGGGATCATGTCTTTGTATGTTTGTTTAATTTATCTTTCTATGCCCAGCACTTCTACATGGTCTGTGGTAGTGTAATAGAGCCTAAACAAATATTTATTGAATTTATGAATAAAGGAATTTTTAAAAATCAGCATTTGAAGGCTTCATAGAGAATCAAAATTTTCAGAATCTTAGAGAACTAGAACTGGAAGAAGCCATAAAGATTAACAAACTCCTCATCACGTCCTTGTAAAATCCCTCTGATAGCCTTACCTGCACTTAAATCATTCCTGTGTTAGGGAGTTCACTATACCATATGGAATTCTGTTATTTTCAGACACTTCCTATTATGGAAAAATCTCTTTCTTACATTGAATTGTTTTACTTATAATCTTATAGCAACAGTTCTCTCATTATTCCAAAATAATTTTGAAACAATTACACATACATCTTCTTTCCTTTTGTGATATCTTCTGAAATGAAACCACTCAAAGTCACAATTGAAAATGAAAACTATTCTTCATTTCATTGAATGTTAAAGAATGGCATTTCATTTTGAAATGCTGTATCATCACTGGAATTCTTTAAGCTATATAGGGTGGGGCAAAAGTAGGTTTATAGCTGTGAGTATACAAAACACAGAGTTTATTCTTGTATTATTTACTATTTATTATATTATTTCCCATACAGACAACTGTAAACCTACTTTTGCCCCACCCTGTATATTGGATTGATTTCATTATTCCTGTGCACAGGTAATGACCCATATTTGAATATACTGCAAATAAGAAATTTTGATTTCAGCCAAGTGAAAATAATATACATTAAAAAAACAAATTTATATGAAGTCTCCTATTTTAGCTAATCTTAGCAAAAATTAAATCTTTGGGTGTATATATATAGTATATATGCATTAGAGTAAATGCAGTAACTGTTTTGAATGAGAAGATTCATATGTAACATGGAAAATCCAGTTACCCAGGTTAGCTGTATGTGTGTGTGGTTTAGAGTCATGTCTATATTTTATATCACAGAATTATAGTGTAATCAAAAGAGAAAATATGGTTGAAAGCATTTAAGGAATGTGTAAGTGAAATGTTCTCCTACTCCCCACTGTAATCATGAACACTTTTAAAGAGCTAGTATACAGTTTTTCAAATAAAATGCATCACCACTTATAGACAGTTGCTTTCTTTTATATGCATGAAACAATTTGCAAAGTTGCATTATTCTGTTGTGGTTCTTTGGTCTCTATTTCTGAATCATTATCACCACTCTTCTTAGGGATGTAGATGTTTGCTTACACAGTGACCCACTTTCTCTTAGCTATTCTTTGGGACTATATTAGACACCTCTAAAATTGCATTAGATTTTATGGGTCACTCATACCATTAAATGAATTATTGTTTCAGCACAATAAATTACATTTTCCAAATTGCTGCCTATATAGAGCATCATTAATCTAGGAAAATTGAATGTATGGTGCTGTAATTACATATCTGATCCTTTCAATATTCTGGCTGAATAAAAAATGTAAACCAAATGTGATATAATGGTGTTTTAGACATTACACTGACATCTAATAAGAAAAAAAAGTTATCAAAATGATAACAAATAACAAGTGTTGGCAAGGATTTGGAGAAAATGGGAACCCTTGTGTACTATCTGTGGGATTGCTAATTAGTACAGTCATTGTGGCCAACAGTATGGAGATTCCTCAAAAAATTAAAAATGGAACCACCAAATGACCCAACAATTCCACTTCTGGGTATCTATCTGAAGAAAATGAAAATATAGATAATTTAAGAGACAAGCCTAATAAAATAGAAACTCTGAGTAGAAAGGTGAGGAAGCTAATAATTTGTGTCATCAATCTATTATAAATAAAAGCATAATATGCAAATCGACTGAATGGCCGTCTGGACATCCTTCCAGATGACCTTCTGGACAAAGCCGGGGCTGCAGCCGTGGGATCGAGGCAGCTGCCCCAGCTGCGAGGAAGGGATCGAGGCAGCTGCTGCAGCTGCAAAAACCTACTCTTGCATGAATTTCATGCATCAGGCTTTTAGTAGTCTCATAAAAAGATACCTTTATTTCCACTGCTATTAAGGCATTAACCTACTTCTATCATATGGCATTCATGAAATAAACAAATTTGTAATTGGCACCTATTCTGTTGCAGATGCTGTATTCTGCTGGAAACAGATTAGACAGACGAACATGGTCATGATGCTTGGGTGTGATTCAGTGTGTGTGGGGGTGGGCAGAGGAGTAAAAATAGATGAAAATGTTATTAAAATTTCATTTTGAATGCTCAACAAAGAAAAAACCCACAGGAAATGTCAGGATGCTGCATAAACAATAGTGGTCTATTTGGGGCTACTTTATGGTTTACATTTTTGGTAATAATACATAGAATATCATGGCTAAAGACTATAGTTTAACCAAGACATCTAAAGAGCTCCGAAAAGCTTAAAAAAATCCCTTCCCAGGATCTTGGTTTGGAAATGGGGAAGTTTTCATATGCAAATAATTTGATAAATGCAGACCACTCACTCAGATCACCCTTGTCTCACTGCCAATCTTGTTTTCCTCCATGAATCCCTTAGCTTAATGGAAGGCCACGCCCCAATTACATCCATAGTTTTCAACCTCTCTTAAATTTAATATAGTGTATTTCTTCCCCTCTGTTTCCTTACTTTGTGCTTCTGTTATTGCCAAAGCATTTCACTGCTTTTCATTGTTAAATCTTGTCCATGCCATGCACAGTTTATGTACTACTCCAAGTGATCATTGAAGGGAGATTGCTGAGGACACATAGAGCTGGAGGCTCACCTGATTCTTGTTGACTCACCGCTTTCTGATTTCTTCCAGGCATCGCCTCAGAGCCACCTGGACTTGTGGTGATATACTTCTATAATTCTGACTTAATTTTGCTTATGGGAAATTATGCAAGTGCAGGAGCTCTATGCCCTTTTACTGAAATAATTATTTTTCAAATCCCCTGAAAGCAGTTACATAATTCGAGAGAAGCAAAACATTCATTCCAGGACTAGTAAAATGTTCATCACAAAATTTTTTTTGAAAAGTGATGTTTTTTATTTAACATGCTTCTTCTTCTGTAAAGAGAAATATAGTGTTTATGTTCAGAATAATGAAGCAAGAAAATATTCCTGACACTTATATCCTATGCTGGACAAGATAAAGATGTTTTATTTCTGTCCTTAACTACATTATTGCCGTTAGACATTCTGACAGCTTTTTATTATGGGTGGGAATCTGCTCAGGTCTTTTCATTTCTTCGGAAGACAAGCTCCCTATCTGTAAGGAAATTACTTTGTCATAACTGAGCCTACAGAAGCTGTTTTCAGGGAGGGGGAGGGAGAAAGAGAGGGAGGGAGGCAAAGAGGGAGGGGGAGAGAGAGAGAGAGAGAGAGAGAGAGAGAGAGAGAAAGAAAGAGAAAGAACACTAGAGAAATCTTCCAGTTCAAACCAGAGGAAACAAGCTTGTGGATGTCCTATTAGAACATAGGATCTCATTGTTAATGTTTATAAACTCAGCCTTCCAGAATCACTTGTGTTACTACTGAGCCCTTTTCCAGTTTTATATAACTTTAACATCAGAAAAACTTAAAACATTTTACCATTTCTTGTATCAAAACATGCTGTTTACTTGGAGTGTTAAAAAATCTAGTGGCAAAATGAATAGATTTGTCTTTAAAGATTAGTAAAGAAAAAAGTGAAAATGATAAAACAGTATCATTAAAAATGCATCATTTTTCCTTTTCCTTGACTTTGCTTGTTTTTATTCTGCAGTGGGAAGGGTAGCAGCTAGCAGGAATTATATCCCATTTCATTTTCCTTTGGCTTTCATTCTTGAAAATACAGTCAGGCCCACTTCTATTACCACAGACTGGGTGGCTTATAAACAACAACAAAAACCATTTATTTGTCACAGTTCTGGGGGCTGGATGTCTGAGGTCAGGGTGCCAGCATGACCAGGTGAGGCCCTCTTTCAAAGGCAGACTTCTCTATGCGTCCTTTCATGGTGGAAGGGACTAGGGAACTCTGTGGGGTCTCTTATAAGGGCACTAATCTTAATCATGGGGGCTCCACCCGTGGGACCTAATCACCTCCCAAAGGTCACACCTTCTAACACTATCACATTGGGCCCCAGATTCTCATGTGAGTTTTTAGGAACACACGGAGGTCACAGCAGGGTCCTCCCTAAATCTCGGCCTTCCTTGTTCTGATCTCTCACCTTGCAGCACAAGTTTTAAACAGAGAGACATCTGAAAGTCTGCACAATGTCATCTAAGTTAAATATAACTATCGTTGAGGTGCCCACACAGAGATGTCCAAAGTGGGAGCCAAGTCCTGCCGGTTCTGACACCAATGACCATGCACATAGCATTCTTCCAGCAATGCGGCCGAGCCCACTGCAGCCGGCCAGGGCCCCGGCCCAAGGCCTCCTAGCTGTACTCCTTGTATTTAAGATAGAAAAATCAGTTCCACTAGCCTGTTTGTATGTACTGGTAAGATCATATTTTGTTCTGACAGGTGATTTTAGAGAGAGAAAAAATCCAAAGTGAGATTTATCTACAAACTATATAATTATGAATTAATATATTTAGCAATATCCCTTAGGTTATCTGTGTAAGATTACCAGTCAGGAAATATTGTCTAGATGGGGATAATAGTTGTTCCCATGAGCACATATATGCTAAAGCTACAGCAAAATTCAGTTTTGCCTTGACTCAAAAAGGCCATAAAGGGAAGAAATGATACCTCCGCCTACGTTACTACTAATATCTTGGCTATGTAAGTGCACTAATGATCATTTTTCTTTCTCTTATTTTAGATGATGACTGAAGCAATGAGACTGTCATCCTGTGAAGTTTAGAAGTGGAATAGAAAGGCTTACATACTGTTCATTTTGTGATTGCCACCCTGGCTGTTGTTGTCTGCCCTATGGAATCGCAACCTTCCCAGCCTTACCATTTGTAGATCCTGACTGTCAAATAATGTCATTCTTCTATGCAAAGATTTTCCCCTTTCAGATAGCCTAAGCATTTTGGTGAAGTCATGGTTAATTACATATTGAGTTTTTCCTATCTGTATGTCTCATGATTTATATTCGTGTCTCAAAAATCAACTTTATTGTTATTATTGGATCTCATTTTCTATCCTATTTTTTGTAAAGTACCATGATTCTATCACATTCAATTATTTTAATCATCTTTTTCTGCTCAGTGTCCTATTTCATATGGCATGTCACATTTATAAACTATTTAAATGATTTTAAGCATATTCTTATATTGCTTTAAAAGCAGAATGTGTTTGTCTCTGTGTTTGTGTGTGTATAGACATATATAATTATACAATGGAGAATCAGTTTCCAGGTCACTGTGTTCCCACTGGATCATGTGATGCTGAGTTGAGCTGGCCCAGAGATGTTTCTGGAAATTGTCTTCAGCTATGTACATCAAATATAAACATAAAGCTCACTGTAGGCTTTTAATATTCTACTAGAAAAACACACAAAATTTTGTTTATATGGCAAGGCTTAGGAACACAGCTTCTTATTAAGAGTTTGCCTAGAGACTATGTTAGCCCTCTGTGTACTTTTCACACTGGCCATAGGTATGATAAACCTGTATAGTCAGGTGACCTGATCACATAACAATACCACTTTCCAATAAATTTTTAAAAAATCCACCCTTATTTCTTTCTGTGTGCTGTGTACCATACTTGGTGGGAGTCATGGATGAGGCTGCCATTGATATCATGAAGATAGACAAATGTCGACACCTATTTTGAAACTTATCCAGTTACAGATGGGTAGACCATTGTGGTCTGACTCAAGCCCATGTCTTCTGTATCCTATAGCTCATTTCCATCCACTCAGTTACACTACAGCTCTGGGCCCGCATACAAAGATGTTGCCATATTTGAAATAGGATAGGGGAAGTCTGATACTCAATTTTATTTTCACGAGAGGTGCCCCTATGACATTGTAAACACTGAATTAAATAAATCTACTTTTGAATTAGAATATTTTATAATTATTGCAAACATCTTGTCATAGATCTTATTCTCGATTAGAAGTAGACTTGGGTTCTTACCTAGGACTTGGTTTATGTTTCACTATTAAACCTACAAAATTTACATTTAATATTTAAATCTACAAAATTCACATAGTCTGTCAACACTGAAATTTCATAATGATTTTTCTAGCTTCTGATTTTTACTATTACAATATAAACAACATAGACTTCATTTTTACAACTGGTAATTTTAACAAATGTATTTTATCATCCTATATACCCTGTTTATCTTTGGTGGTTGGTATTTTAAAAATTTTATATTCCTTACCATTTTATAGGACATCTGTTTAAAAGCTTAGGGTTTTAACAAAGGAAGTTATATTAAATAAATGGGGTTTTAATAGAACTTAGCAAAAAATTCAAAATTATATTCCATTACATTTAGCTAATATAAATCCTCTCTTTCCTATGGTAATCAGTGACTTTCTATTTTCAATACCAACATGAAACCCCTGTTAATGTTATCAATACCCTCACACACATTGAATAAAAACTAAGTATAAATTTTTTAAAAATTAAAAATAGAAGTTATTTTAATAGTCTCATAACTGTACCACATTTTCGCTAGTAAACAGGACATAAAGGAGATATAGATTTGAGAGCCCAACATACATAGTTTATTTCTTACAAGATGTGTGATTTTGAACAGTTAACCTTAACTTCTGCTTCTATAACATGGATAACATATCCACTACATCAAATTATTTTGACAGTAAAATATGTTGAAAATATACAAAATTTGGTATAATTGCTAGGACACTGAAGAAATCCAATATATTTAGTTTACTACTCCGTATTAATTATTTTGAGGACAAATACTGCTCATATCTCAGCCAAAAGCTAGGAAAAATATTTGAAACATTTTATGGAGTTATGATAGTTTTTAAGGTTTTGGCTTTTAGAATATGCCTATATAACTATACTTTAAAGCATTCATGGTCTCTTACTGAGTTCAAGTCTATATTTATAAAACAGTGTTTCTATTTAAAAAAAAAAACAACTAACTATAATGATCTAGCCAAAATATTGACTTATATATGCAGGTTTAATTTTTTTTTAAATTCAAACCCCATGATATTTTCCATTGCTTTTAGATAGAATGGAAGGGAGCTGGGAGAGAGAGAGGGGAAAAGAGAAACATCCATGTGAGAAAGACACATAGATTGGTTGCCTCCCACACTCACCCCCATCAGGCCAGGGATTGAGACTGCAACCCAGGTACATGCCCTTGACAGGAATCAAACCCTTAACCCTTTGGTGCTAGGACTGATGCTCTAATCACTGAACAAACTGGCACAGGTTTAATTTTTAATTCTTCAAATGGAGGAACTTTCACAGGGAGGTAAGTAAAGTAAAATAGAAGTATTATATGGCATATATTACCAAAATACATGTAAGGCTTCTATATCTATGAAAGAATCAATATTGGTGATATAAAACAGTAAGAAATTAAAATCTAATTTGCATGAGGTTTGTCTCCAGTCACTGTGTGACCCATTATAGCTTTCCACAGCAGAATACCTAAAAGTATGTAGAAAACAAAATCATTTGTTTGCCAGGTGCATTCTTGCTGAATCAGCCAACTTGGTATTATGCCAATTTTTACTATTTCTCAAGAAGGGAATATATCCCTGAATAAAATGTTAGTAATGTTTAAAGGCATAGTCTTAATCAAAATTTTTAAGCTGAGATATTTTGCCACAAAAAATAAATGAATATAAATAAGAAGAGAGAAACGTGAACTTTAATAAACAAACACTTTTGACATTACAGGATAATTTTTAACCCAAAGAGATTATTATGTTATGGAATTATTATATGCTGACAACACAAAATAAATAAAATATGTGTGTGTGTGTGTGTGTGTGTGTGTGTGTGTGTGTGTGTGTTTCAGAGGAAGTAGGAAAAATCACAAATGAAAATGATGTCTTGTTAATCGTTTGGGGATTTGGAGATGGGGAGACAGTTGCTAGGTAAGCAAGGTTGGTACAAGGCATTTGAGAGAGAGGAAGTACATTGATTTGTTGGGAAGAGTGTACAGATTCGTAGGAGGATCTCACACTGAGAAATCACAGTAGGGACATTCTTTAACTATTTGATCCTACATTCCTTCATCTACAGAATTAGGTTAATAACAGTTTTAATGTTACCACAAAGTAAATAAAAGCAAAGACTGTAAAATGTATCTTGAATTTTAGATGCTGTATCAGGTGCTTTCTTTATAATCTTATACAATATCATAATTTTCAGTAAACAGATTTAGTGGGTTGAAGTAATAGTAGGAAACTCGGTGCCCTATGTTCTAACAATCAACACATTTATTCCCTAGATAACAATTTTTAAGAAGAAGCAAATATGTTGGAGTAAGTCTGACCTGGATTTGAGTCCTGACACTTCCTTTACTTATGGGACTTGGAGAAATAACCTAAAACTTTATTAAGCTTCTGATTTCTCACCCTAAACATGTAGACTAGTTT